CCCCAGGCATAACTTTTCTCTGGCTCGCTAATAGCTGGGAACGGCAAGACAGACCTTAAGGTTGCCTAGTTACTATCAGTGGTATAGAAGAAGAATTCAGATGTCTCTGTAGGGGGGAGGAAGAGGAGGATAAAGCTGGCAACATGTCCCAGCATGGGAACCTTGCTACAGTTCACTATTTTCCTGCAAGTAAACAACCTGGGTATATAAGGAGGGAAAACTGCTTACATTGGTGTGCTTGATCCGAGATGTCTAGTCTCCTGGCACCTATTTGAGCGTTCAAATAAACTTTTTTTGCTTCTCCACACCGGTGTGTTTATTGGAGCGCGCACACCGGGCACCGAACCCAGCTGTTACCCCCCTCGGTCACTGTGTGCTGGCAACAGTTATAAGTCATCAAGGGCCCCAACAAAGTACGTGTACCAACAGGACACTAACCTTACAGTTGCTGGGCACCGGTGAACCTAAAAATAGTGTTTTACCCTGTAATGTTATATTTGTCTCCTGTTTAATATAATTGTGTTTAATATAGTGTACGTGTTTGTGTTATTTTCTGGGAGTCTCCAACTATCTGGCAAGTACATGGGAATTACCCTGGGTTAGAATTTTCCTCCCAAGCTGCCCTGGTGACCCTGCCAGGAAGGAGTGAGGGAGATGGAGGCACCACCAAATAAATCCATAAGAAGAAAGAAAGTTGAGTGGGTGGCGGGATCCAGAAGAACCCAGACCTGTCCATCAAAACCTGTAAGCAGATTGGCCTTAAAGAAGGGAACCAGGTGGAGAGGGGGCGATATACATACACTTCCATCTCACTTTGGTCCTCAATCAACAGCACTAGCTTCCTATTCATTTCAGGATCCACTGCAAAATTGGCCTCTTTGTTCACAAAATTCTCGATAGATTTGCTCCAGCCTACTTTATGGATTTTACACTAAATTCACACCATTGTGTGACTGTACCAGGGGGTACAATTTATCTTTTGACTCTTTCTACATCCCTTCTCAGTTCCTTTGCTTTTCTGCTTTTTTATTCCCATTAGATTCTCTTTTACAATATCAGTTTTACAATATCAGTAACAAAAGATTATTAATCAAAAAGTAACCAGCACACTATAGGAAAGAAAGACCTTAATACATAACCAATCTGGAGAACAGGCTTTGCAAAAGTTACATCTTCACTCTATTCCAAAACAAACTCACTTCTACTAATATTTATACTAATTTATTATGGAAGGAAATTACCCAAATTCCTTTATTTCCTGCCATAGCCTAAATTTTCCTTTCCCATGAAGTTTACTCCAACTGTCCAAGGCTCTCAGATACCTATACCCTTGTATCTTTAACAATCTTGCAACAATTACAACAACTGCTGTGTCATGGGGCAAGGTTCCCTCACCCTGCACTCCTTGTTGCCCATAGTCCTTATACACTTCCTCGGCAAGTTGAGCATCATGAATTTTATTGCATCATCATCCATGGGCTCAACAACCATGGGCTCAAAGTCGGTTGGTGTCCGAAGCCTTCCTCACTATTTCCTTCCATCTTTCCCTGTCCAGTGCGGTGTGGCTTAGTTTCTGTAGACTAGTTCCGCACCAATCTACTATATCATCTACTCATTCTCTGTGGGGTCTGCCTCTCCTGTTTGGACCATCCATTATGCTGAATACCAGGATCTTAACTTTTCGCTCGTCGTTCATTCTGCAGATATGCCCGAATAGCTGTTAACTTCCATTGTATAGCCTTCTGCAGTAGGTTCTCTTTTGGCTGTATCTTCCTATCTAATTCCTCCTTGGTGACCTTCTGCATCCATCCTATTCTCAGGATCTTTCTATAACAACTCCTCTCGAACACTAATATCCTTCTCTTCGAATCTTTCATCATCACCCCTGTCTCACATCCGTACAACATGCTGCTAAATACATGTTTTCAAGATGCTCGGTTTCATTCCTAAGCTAATTGCTTTACTTTTCCAGATCTTATCCATCGCCTTCAAACTCGCTCTTGCTTTCACAATTCTAATTGCTATTTCCATCTTTCAGTCTAAATCATACATCATGTTGCTCCCCAAATAGGTGAACTTCTCTACGTTCTCTAGTTTGATCCCATATACACTGATCTTCCTTCCTATATCCTCATCTCCAAATCCCATCGTCTTCATTTTATCAGTATTTATAATCAGTCTGTACCACTTCCCTTCCTCATTTAGCACCTGCACCCTTCTCACTAGCTGCTCTTCATCTTCCTCGATGATAACTATATCATTCGTGAACCTTTATTTGCAATATGTTTTATCAGTGATTGGACCGCATGGCATAAGGCTTGGACCTTCTCTCCAGACACCGGAAGAAATGGGGGGAGAGCTCTTCATCTGCATTAAACCCCAGGGCTTCTCTGGCCCTTTCTTCCTGCCTTCTCTACGTGTTTGTCTTTTACAGGTCCTCAGCTAGCAAACTAAATCATCTTGTTAACTGGTTAATCACTCAGTACTTAGTTAACTATCTCATCAGTTTGGCCCATGGGAGGAATTTTATGAAGTTCACACAGAGGTCAATCAGCCTTAGGCAGTGTCTTCACTGGAAACGCTATAACTGTGGTGTTTTAGTGCTTCAGGGTGGAAATTAATAGCTTCCCTGCCACAATGGTTCACCCATCTCCTCAATATGCAACACCTAGTTCTCAAACTCAAGGCCCAAGGGCCATCTGCTGCCTGAGCAGCTCCATAATCCAGCCTGCAAAATATTTTTCAAAAGTTATTTAATCAGGTCCACATGGCTGCTAGCATGCAAGTCCCTGCAGCCCGGGAGGGTGTCTGTGTGCTATTCCAGCTGCTAGGAGCAGCACATAGAGATACACACCTTCCCCAGGCCACTGGGACATTCTAGAAGCTGCGTGGAGCTAGCAGCTATAAGCTTCTGTCACCCCGCTAAACTACCAGTGCTGCCGTGGTGGCTCCTGGAGCATTTAAAATGCCACAGGTGCAGCAGGTGGGGTCAGAAGTTGTATGGTCCGAGGGAGTATGTGGGCAACAGGCAGGGCCAGGAGATCCACAGGGGGGTGGAACACCCCCACCCCCAGAGCCACTGCCAGAGGGGGGGGGTCACAGGGACCTACACTCTTCTTCCAGCCCCTGAACTCTCTCTCAGAGCCTCTACTCCTGAATCCCAGTCCCTCCCACCTGCCCCCAAACTCCATCCCAAAGCCTGACCTATTGCCACTCCTGCATCCAAACGTCCTTCCAGAGCCTGCTCTCCTCCCCCATCCAAACTTCCTCCAAGAGCCTTAGGCAGGTATATAGGTTGTGGGTGAGAGATTCTTCAGTGATTGAATTGGTCTGGGAGGAGGACTTGAGGTTTGGGTACTGGCCCTAATGTAAATTGAGTTTGAGACCGTTGATCTAGGTTAACTGAAGAATTTGCCTTCCAGGTAGGTGGGCTTACTCATGGGTATGCATTTTTCACAACCTGCAATAAGTACCTGGGTCAAACTAACTTTTTTGTGTCAGTCTGGCTTTGGGCTATTCGCATGGTAGAAGGACATCTTCTGATAAGAGAGCTGAGTCCTGCCACGTGTAGAAAAGAATAAAGTGCATGCCAAGAATAAAAGCTTCCACCCTATTTTTAATATATGATTTGCTTGGAATTAATTGCAGAGCATGATGCGTTAATTTTGGTTAGATGTTTTTAGTTAACACACACATTCTCAGATGCCTCAGGGGAGTGAACATAACAGGTTATCATTCTCACTATCCACAGCTGGTGCAATTGGCCGCTCTTATACTACACCTTGAAAGCTTCAAGGTCTTGGCTGAAACTCCATAAGATCTAAAATGTGAACAGGCCAGGTCATAGTCAGAGAGTTGGACCAACAGACTACACACTGCCTCACAAATACAGCTTACCCAGAATCTCCTAAAAGGCCTAATCCATCACATATCCCAGCACCATTAACAATGCTGGTGTAGTTAGATAGCAATAAATGGTGTTGGGACTCAAACTTTTTTTTCCAATTAAGAGGAAGCAAGAACTGTATGAAAGAGTCTTTATTGTTTTGCTATTAAGGTGTCTGGTGTCTGGGGAATACAATCAACACAAACAGATATATATACAAAGTTGGGAAGGTAGTTGGGTAGAGATTGTGCATTCTTTTGTTTAGAAAACATATAGATTGAGATGGCTCTTGCTGTGAATAAGTAACAATAGCTAGGGGAGCTATGACATATTGATGTGACTTTTACACATCGAGGGCCCTATTTCAAACCTCAGTGCGCCCATTATGTCCTCAAAATCTCATATTAGCACATGGCAATAAAGGAAGTGCACATGTAACTAAATACCTCTTTGCCATATGCACTCATCAGTTTTGCAGACCTTAGGATCAAGTATGTGTGTTTGTGGGCATGCTTATTTCATCTCCCTTCCATTTACTACAGCACCTACAGCATGCCCTCCCTTACCTCACCCAGCATCTGGTAGCAGCTGAAATGGAAAAGCAACAAAGCAATAGGTCTGCAGACTCACCTGATGGGAGCAGACTCATCCCCTTTATCAATCCAGTCCTGGGGTGGAATTATGTACATGCACCAGAGTCCCCAGTTGTAGCCATGGGCTGCATTGGCATATTGCTGCACTTCGAAAGTGTTGTACTTGATGTTGTCAATAGCTGGTAGGATGATACGCTTTCGATCTTCTTTGATTCGGGTAAGTGCTGGTTCCAACCTGGGAACAACAGAGGAAGCAAAGTGTTTTCTGACCATTCAATCATTCAAATTCTTTAGCAATCTGATAAAGTAAGCAATTAAGTTCTCTAATTCTGCAAGCAATAACATGCACAAAAATCCACCTTGGGTGCAGCTTAGAGTGATTTAATGCAGGTTAGTGTCATATGCAATGGCGTGGGTGGGGCACAGTGTAGGGTCTCCTCAAGCAGCTTGGGGTCATTTTCCTGCAAAGCAGTGGTCACCAACCAGTAGATCAGGATCTACCAATAGATCTTGGAGCCTCTGACAGGTGATCCTGACTAGTTTGGTCTGGAAGCTATCAAGCTATCTAGTTGCCCCCTCCCCGCTACTGTTGTGATGCTCCTGACCTTTACCTTGCTCTGCAGGATGTGAGAGGGAGATGAGGGGGTGGCACTGATGTCAGGGTGTTTCTCCTCCCCCCACTCCTGTACCCCATCTCCACACAGAGAGAACGGGATGGAGGGAGCTTGGCAATGCAAAGCTCTGTCACTCTCACACTCTGTATGTGTCTCTTATTCTCACAAACACACACTGACCTTCTCTCTCATCTCCCGACCCAGCACACACGTGGGGGCTTGTTACTCTTTTTACTACTTGCAAAATACAACCCTCCATCTCCATATCATTATTGCTCAGGGCTGAATCAAACTACTTAACTGAAGTGAATCAGTGTTACTGTTCTGTGGAGTAAATAAAACTCCATTAGTGAAGGTTTGTTATTCTAATGACTGATTTTGAATAGAACCAAAAAGTCCCAGTGAATTCTGCCATTGATTGCTAAGGGTGAAAATTATATACTAACTTAAGACAATGAAAAAAGTCAGCATAGACCATCTTTAATTGCCCATCTGTGATATGGCCAGATTAATCCAGGGCTGCATTATATTGTGCACAGTGACTCAGCGACTTGGCGGGTTGATTAATGAGAATTGCTTTTATGGAGCATAGGGGGCCCATCAGTTTCATACAATAAAATTATTTCCTTTAAATATTATTTGCTCCTTTTGTTTGTGGTAGTTTCCAGTCTGTTGCTCTGCACCATGGTGTAGGTGTTTACATAATAACTCTCCCAAGAAACTAAGTGTAGTTTTTTTTGTAGGAGGTAAAAAATACACTGAAAGGTGGCAGGTCAAATTAACTATTGAATTATTGAAATTGTGCTCTGCTTAATTACAACTTTTTTGCTTCTTGGGTGATGAAATATATTAGTTCAGGCCAGATATTTTCTATTGACCCATTCCCCATAAGATTTTCCTTAATGTGAGCTGATACTATTTCTGTGTCAGGGATAAGTGGAGAGGACTGGCTAAGAATCAGGCCACTACCATTAATTCTCAAATGGAATTTTCAGTTAGAATCATGCAATGATTCACCAAACAATTCTGTAAAATTCCACCTGTCCTGCTGCAAATGTTCTTTTTTACAGGAACACAATGTTAATCAATGTCAGTAAGCCTGCAGGGCTGAAAATCTCTGCAAAACAGATGGAATGGCAAATATATATGTGGCTATCCAGGGTCATATCCTTCCTCTATCCCCTCTGGCTGCTCTGATCCATAGCCAGAAAGCCAATTTACCTGGTGCTTCTGCTAGTGTAAGGGGAATCCCCAGTTAGCTGAGGGGTGGATATAGTGGTCCAAAGTCCCCTGCTACACAAAGCTTCCTGTGTAATGGTGCGTAATGGGAGCTGGAGGAATCTGGAGCATGGCTCAGTTAGAAGAAGCATGGATGGAGTATTGCACTCCAAACACTCTTGTCTGCTGATACAGCCCAAAGGACCCTCAGATGCATCATGCCACTCACACTCCAGTGCATAGGAGTTGTGTAATCACATGTTACAGCAAAATTAGGCCCACATAATTCAGTTGTGTATCCCTAAAGCATAGTGAAGTTCTGCATTCATTCTGTATACACCAATTTCATTTCCATGCCTTCCATATTTTGTATTTAGATGCACTCATTTTCCAATGAAGCTCCAACCAGCCACACAGGCCCACCAGTGCGGAGGAAGGGGAGCAAAGGAGGCAACTGCCTTGGAGATTCTAAAGGCCTCAGGCCTCATGGCTTCTGCTGCAACAGCAGCAGTGAACCCCAAAGCCCCAGGCCTTTTAAATCATCACCAGAGTGCCACATAGCACAATCCTGCAGACTCTAAGGGGCAGTGAGGGGGTGCTCCAGGCGGTGTTGAGGGCTGTTGGGTGAGGGGTGTAGGGTAGGCTGGTGTGGTGCACTCACTACTCTGGCCCTGCCTCTTCTATGTGAGGCCCTCTGCACCTTCTGGTAGTGTGAAGCCTTTTCCTCTCCCCCACCTAGCGCAGGAGTTCAGCATGGCTGTTGACTTCCCTGTAGCCACAATTAACTATCCTACAGAAGATGTGAAGCATCCCATATTTGAGATGGAGAGGGAGAGAGTGAGATGACAGAGAGGAAAGAGCCTGAATTAAGTTATTTGGGGAGAGGGAGCAAAATAAAAGATAATGTAGATGGGGAGATGAATGTATTAATTCTATGGAGGAAAAAGAGAAAGTTCTGAGTCCAAAAGGTAGACCTCAGAAGGAGAGATAGTCTACAACATATTAGCAGCCTTAAAAAGAGTGTGGGGATCCATAAAAGAATACATAATGATACTGTATTATACTTGCTTCCTATCTTAGAAGTTACTGTACCGACCGTCCTCCTTCCCCCTTCCCACAATCACAGTTGTGTCTAAGCCCTGAATGGATTTATGCAGTACTATAGTAGTTAAAAATAGTGCTAGTAAATGAGTGTTGCCATAAAAAGCAGAGGAATAAAAGAAGTTCATTAAGAGATTTCAATATACAAAAAAGACAGTGCTTAACAAAGAAGAAAGGGACATGAGCTATACATTCTGTAAATCTGTGACTAGCACAGTCTGTCTTTGGAGATTATACCCCGAAACTGGTGCCAAAATGAAGATTTGTGTGCTCCAGGATGCTATTTTAGACTTGCTATTTTATGCATTAATGTGTAGTGCATTATGATGTAGTGCAGTGTTTCTCAATGTGGTTTCTCAAACACTGCCAAGGAGCATCACAGCTCCCATTGCCTCTAGTTTGCCATTTGCAGCCAAGGGGAACTATGGGAAGTGGTGTGGGCTGGGCTGCCTCTTCCTATGGCTCCTCTTGGCTGTTAACAGTCTGTGGCTGCAGGGCCAGTAAATCAACACACCAGTGTGGTCAGCAGCTTTTTCAAAGTTGTTTCATGGAACACTTTGAGAAACACTGATGTGTGGGACTAATGATTGGATTCTCAAGATGTACTTTAAATCAAGGGAAAAGCTGATTTTATGGTGATCAACAAGGGCATGTCTACACTAGGAAATTGCCTCAAAATTACTAAAATTGACTTTACTCCTTATTTAACAAAATTGAAATAGCATGACCTCACTATGGGGAAGCACAGAAATCAGTTAGAGTTCTTCTGACATAGTGCATCAACATTCATTGGAGCCTGCCTCAGACTTAGGGCCCCAGGAAGCACTTTGGGAAGAGCACCAGGAGGGTGAATACTTCCTATGGTTGCTTGGTCAAGCAAGTTGGGATATATACTTTCAGGGCTCCTCTCTACAGCTGCGTCTTACAAGCCACTCCTCTACTGCCTTCCCTCTCGTGAGACACAAAAGGGATGCAGTGGACACATGCCTTCTCATGCTGTAGATGCCATAGCATGGAGCCAGAGCAGTACTTCCAGACTGCCCACATGTTGCTTCTGCAGGATGAGGATGAGGAGCAGCAGGAGGATGAGCCCCAGCATGGACCACAGGTACTGGACCTCCTGCTGCTGTTCATACCCATCAATGCAGATATGTAAATCTGTGACTAGCACAGTCTGTCCTTCTGGCAACGAGAGACAAGCTCAGACTGGTGGAACCAAATTGTCCTGCAGGTATGGGACAATCAAGAATGGCTGCATGTGGATGGTCACCTTCCTTGAGTTCTGCAAGTGGCTCACCTCTGCCCTTCGATGATAGGACACCCACATGACACCCGCCATGCCTAGACAGCAGCCTGCCGAAACTGCTGCAGAAACTGCAGCACAACAGTCAGAGGCTATTGCATGCCTAGAGGAAGTTCTGGCTCCATAGCAGGGTGTGCTGTGGGATACAGGCATTGAAAAAGGCTCAGAAAAGGGCAACAAAATGATTAGAGGTTTGAAGCATGAAGTGAAATTCTTTGCTGTCCCTCAGAGATGTAGGCAAGCAGAAGAACCTGAGAAATGGCTTTCTAGGGGGGTCCATTTAAGCACGCATCTCAGATAGCCTCAGGCAGCAGCTCCAGGAAGCAAATACTGACCTGATGCTCTGCCTGAACTGGCTCCAGGTGGCCTTAAATGCGAGATAGTGTCCAATCAGTTTGGACACACTCTTTTGAAATAGAAAATTGCTATTTTGCTGTGCTTTTGTGTGTAAATGTGCTCCTTCATGCTGTGCACAGTAAACTTGTGGAACTCCTTGCCAGAGGATGTTGTAAAGACTGGAACTTTATCAGAGTTCAAAGAAGAGCTAGATAAATTTATGAAGGTTAGGTCCATCAATGGCTATTAGCCAGAATGTGTAGGAATATTGTCACTAACCTCTGTTTTTCTGGAAATAGATGGCAGGACCTTTGGACCTTTGGTCTGACCCAGTATGGCCATTCTTATGTAAACGTGTGGCCATCACCCTGTGGAAGCTTACCATGCCAGACATGTACCACTCCATTGGGAACCAGTTTAATATGAGTGAAATCCACAGTTGGGGCCATGCTCATATGAGTAGTGAAAGACATCAACCATCTGCTGTTGCAGAGAGTTTGGGGGATGTGGCAGCATCATGGATGGCTTTGCTGCCATGGGCTTCCCAAACTGCGGGGGGAGGACATAGGTGGTACACACACACACATCCTGGCCCCAGTCTACCATGCCTCTGAGCACATCAACAGAAAGGGGGTACTTCTCCATGGTGCTGCAGGCCCTCATGGATCACAAGGGATCCTTCATCGACATCAGTGTTGGGTGGTTGGGAAAAACGCATGATTCCTGCATCTTCTGGAACTTCTGTCTGTTCTGAAAGATGCACCATGGCACTTTTTTTCCCCTGACTGCACCATCAGAGTTGGGGAAGTGGACAAGCCCATTGTGATCCTGGGTGATGCAGTCTACCCCTTACTCCCCTGGCTCATGAAGCCCTATACGGGTAGCCTATTTGGCCATTTAAAAGGGAGGTTCGGGAGTCTCCTCACTAGTCTGGACCTCAGCAAGCACAACATCCCCTTTGTGCCCATGACAACCATTGAAAAAGCAAGGGGGAGTCTTTTCTGCCAGGACAGAGGGTCTGTGGCTGAACATCTGGCTAGGGAATTTAAGCAGCTGGATATAAGTGCTATTTGGAGAACACATCAAGGGTCTGTGCTTATCAGAGGTCTTGAGAGAGAGTTTTGTGCAAGGCCAGTTGTGAGATTCTCCCTTGTGCCTCTCCAAGACCCCTGTTTGTCTTTCCTCCCCTACCTCTCCCTTCCCCTGCTCTCTTTTCACACCTTCCTCCTCTTCACCAGCAGAGCAATTAATTAAGATGTTTGATACAGAAATAGTACTCTTTACGGGAGGTGGGGGGGCATAAATCAGGGGAGTGACTGGGTAAAGAAACTGGAAGAGGGGAGGTGGAGGGAGTCTCAGGGATGGGGCTGAGAGTGGTGTCTTCCTCTGGATTGTTGGGAGACTTTGGCTGCCCAAGAGGTCCCACTGCCCCATGTTCTGGGGCCCTTGCAGCCCCTTGGAAGGTTAAGGGGGAAAACTATAGGGGGGTAGGGAGATGGCTGGTGACCTCCTCCATGCACAACACCATGCATTCCATCAGGTGAGGGAGGAGCACATGGTATTATGTTAGTGCAGCAGCTGGCCCCAGGTGGCCTTTCTTTGCTCACGCTCAGTCAGGTACTCCTCCCAGTTGGCCTGGCACTCCTTCCAGTCGACAGCCCACTAGCTAATTCGAACTAGGTGTTAGTCCTCTTAAAATGAGGTTTACCTAGTTCGAATTAAGCGCTCCGTTAGTTTGAATTAAGTTCGAACTAGTGGTTTGCCTGTGTAGCGCCTATCAAAGTTAATTCGAACTAACGTCTGTTAGTTGGAATTAACTTTATAGTGTAGACATACCCTGAGGGTGCTTCTATGCTGCAGGACTTAACTCAAAATAAGCTATGCAAATTAAGCTAAGTCAATTGCTTATCTTAGGGTATGTCTACACTACAAAGTTAGTTCGAACTAACGGATGTTAGTTCGAATTAACTTTCATAGGCGCTACACTAGCGCTCCGTTAGTTCGAACTTAATTCGAACTAACGGAGCGCTTTGTTCGAACTAGGTAATCCTCATTCCACGAGGATTGAGCCTAGTTCGAACTAGCCAGTTCAAATTAAGGGGTGTGTAGCCCCTTAATTCGAACTAGTGGGAGGCTAGCCCTCCCCAGCTTTCCCTGGTGGCCACTCTGGCCAACACCAGGGAAACTCTACTGCCCCCCTCCAGGCCCCGGACCCCTTAAAGGAGCACGGGCTGGCTACGGTGCCCGTGCCAGGTGCAAGCCTGCCAGCACCCAGCTAGCAGACCCTGCACCTGGCACGGCACA